AAAAAAAACAAAAAACTTCATCACCTTTACCATTTAATTGTCTCCTCTGTATTTTAGTAACTGATTGCACTAGCGCACTTCTGCTTTTGGAAATTGATCATTATTCTTAATCCCAGAATTGGTTTCTTTGTCACAAAATGTAAAAAAAATATAATTAAAGGATTAAATAGTGCTAAAATTATTTAATACAGTATTAATTTTCATGCTCAAACAGGTTCTCACTAATTTGAAAAGATCAAGGAACTCACTGTATAAATAAAAATTTAAAGCACAAATTGATAACCATAGATTGCCACAGAAAGACAGTTTGGGGAATATAATCAATAATGTTGTATAGGGTATCTGATGGACACTTGTCTTATTAGGGAGTCCACTTCATGGACGGTGTAGATGTCTGACCACTGCACTGTACACCTGAAGCTGAATAATATTGAATGCCAACTATAATTTAATATATATACATAGTCACAGGATGTGGAGTACAGCATAGGGAATAGAGTCAATGGAATTGTAACAGCTATATACGATGTCAGAGGGGTAGTAGATTGGGGGAGGGGGGTTATGACTTTGTAAGTGGTGTAAATGTCTATTACATTGTTTTGTACACCTGACACTAATAATTAAATAAATAAATAAATAAAGTTTAGAATTAAGAGTCACTTGCCTTTGGCAATCTCTCTCAAATTACAACATCCATATATTTTGGCCCAGCAAATCTACTTCTCAGATTTTGTCTTACTGATATATTCTCACACATGAGATGTAAGATTATTGATAGCATCCTTGCTTATAATAGTGTTGTATATTACCATTTTTTAAATAAATAAATAAAGAGAAAAATATAGTGTGTAGAGTCTGTTACCATTTGTGTTGAAAATAAATAAAAAGAAGTATATACATGTATGTATACGGAATACTTCTAGAAAGGTACATAAGAAATTGTGAACAGAGGCTGCCTCTGAGAACTGGGTGACTTGAGGAAGTGGATAAGGGAAGACTTCCCACCTCAGTCCCTGTGTCTGTTCAGAATTTTGCATCTTGTGGATGTATGACCCTTTTGTTCAAAAACACATATTCTTTTAATTTTAAAAATCCTGTAGCTCAACTAAAGTAAGACATATTCTCCACAAACTCTTTACTTTTAAGTGTTTCGTATTTCTTTTTTTTTTTCCTAATTTTCTAACTACATATCAAGTGGCCTCCTCAGGACATTGCCTCCCAGGCTGCCCCCAGCCCTCCTGCTGAAAGCAGCCTTTTGAGATCATGGTCAGTAAAGCCAGTGTGCTCACCCGCACCTGGCTTTCAATTTCTGCTTCCTAAACATGATCACAGATGCACACACACACTCCACATACTGTACCTGGTTTAGCTTGTCTCTCTCTTCAGTGCACGAGGCAGCTCTTTTCTGCTCTCTGTTTACTTCTGAAACCAGCCTCATGATTGTTTCTCTGCTAGCTTTTGCCTCCATCTCATGGACATTTATAGTCTCTTTCAAAGTAACAATCCGTCCTTTCACAGATGCATTTTCCTTGCACAGTTCTCTTAGCTGAAGAGAAAGCAATGATGGCTGTCTTATAAAAATTAACACTTTCACACCACTTTCTCTAAGCAATGCTGATCTATATCCCCCAATGGCTGCATTATCATATGAAAACAGCTGAAAGCACTATCCTTCCATCCACTCAAAAGATCATGTTTTCAAAGGCTGCCTCTAACCCCTGTGCTTCTGTGTAGGCCTGGCGGTCAAATTAGAATTAATCAAAAGGCAGCTGCAAGGTAACAATGATGAGAGTCCAGCCAAAGCTTCCCCACAGAACAAGAACCCTGGCTGCTAAATAAACAAGGGAAGGGAATGTTCTACAGAGGTTACAGCAGGTGAGGAAGCAAGGGAGTTGAGCTCCGCCCACGCCCACAGCACCACCTGCGTGCCGGGCGCTACCTGGCACAGGCGGGAAATACAGAGAAGAAAGCGGGAGTCCCTTTTTGAAAAAAGAAAATCCTTCTAATGGATACAAGCATAGAAAAAGCCTTAATAACACGCTCAAACCGTGGTGATCATTGGGATTAGCAGGGCATTTTGTTCTCTATGTTGTGCATCTGTTGTGCATTAATGAGATTTGTAAGATTTACGAAGAGGGAAAATAAAATCAGGAAGGCTCCTTGGCCCCAGAAAGCGAGCCAGCCATGCAGACAGCTCACTCTCTACAGCCACGAGGATGCCTGCAGCAAGACCTGAAACTCCACGTGACAAGGTCAGTGGTTGTCTTAAGGCTCTGGGGAAGCGACATACGTTTTCGCAGCAGCAATTTGCCGACATGGTGCCCTGCACCTGACTCAGGGCTGTTCCCTGTCTCTTGAACACTTTTCCTCGTATTTGCATGCGCACTCTCCAACATCCTTCGAAAGTCCCCACCTCAGAGGGGCGCATCTCCGCCAATCTCCCTAAACTCGCATCCCACACCTCTAACCTGCTTCACTCTCTGTCCCCGCACCCCCATCTGCTGTTCTTCACTGCACCTTTTACTACGTGGGATAACATTGGATACTTATTTATTTCCTCACCATCTTTACCCCCACAGTAATGAAAGCTGTAGGAGGGCCCACACTTAGTCTTGTCTCATTCACTGCTGTATCCCCAGCACCCAGGACAGCATCTAGCATATAGTAGTCACTCACTAAATATTTGGGAAATGGATGAATGAATGTCAAGTAAATTCCTAGGATACGTCCTTTTCCACCATGGTTCCTGGGACTGTGTGTGCATGCGTGGCTATGAAGGCGATAAAAGTTAGGGAATGGCTTGAAATTGATCCACTTCTCGGGGCAATACCTAGTCACGTGATTGAGACAGCAGCCTTCCTGCTCTTGGCCTGTGATGGTCTTTTAAGACAGGCACCTGCTCAGGTGACTAGGATGCTAAAGCTCTAGGGTCCAAGTACCTGTTTTAAAATATGTTATGTTATCATTCAGGTATGGTGAGGCCAACAGATCAGGTTGCCATTGAAAAGGTAGCTTGCTACTCACGTTGCCAAGAGGAGACGCGGGCCATGCCATGCAGGGCCACACGGGGAAGCAGCAGGACTGGTCAGGAGAGAGGGAGCGAGGGGGAAACACGTTTCCACAGGAAGAAACAGGTGAGGCAGTGGAAGCAGGCTTAGGATGGGCGAGTTTGAGTCATTTTTGTGGGCTCTGGAGTGTAGGGATGTGCCTAGTTTTCTGGGACCTGGGCCCGGCTGATCAGGGAGCGGGGACAGTGGCCCAGAGTATAAGCGCCTGCAAAAGCGGTGGTTGTGGTGTGGGCTCTGGATTGGATGGTTTGCCCATAAAAGCGCTGCTCCCAGGTGAATCATTGACCAGGAATTGGCTAACCCTGGGAGCGGCCGTCTCCTGGGCAGCCAGGCCCCAGGTGTCAAAGCATTGATTAATACAGTATCAACACCCAGATCAGCACAGGGAGACTGTCTCTGACGTGGGAAGGGGTGAAAGAAGAAGCTGCTGAATTTCCTTTTCTTTTTCCCACCACTTGGCCTTAAAGCTTAGCCCCCAACCGCACCTCGAGGTGGACTTCCGCAGCCAGGCTCCCCGGCACAGGGCAGCAACAAGGAAAAAGGAAAAGACGGATCCAGCACCCTGGAGGGTACCAAGCGGACTCTATGCCTGAGCAGCCAAAACCCATCAGTGAGGTGGGACACTCCTGAGGTAAAATAGGGTCATTTTACAGCTTTCAGACAGGACCCGTGGGAAGCTGGCTAACAAAACCACTGAGAGGCAGCTGCTGAGAACGGTGCATGGGAATCTGTCAGGAAGCACGGATGTGAAAGGTTTATAAATGAGCTAAGATGTGGGGAGCACTCACATACCTCCAGGTGCCCTAGTGAATCACTCCGGCCCAAGTGAATTATTCAAATGATATAATTAATTTCCATCTTATGGCAACCTACCATTAAAGCAGGATTTTTATTGTCTGGGCTTTAATGTAAAATTCAAAAGTAATTTTGAAGGGATCTTAACCTTATATTCAATAAGTAACCCAACAATGACAGCTGTTTTTGGTTTGGGTTGAGGGGGATTCTGTCTGTAACTAAAAAAAAAAAAAAATCTTCCTAAAACACATCATTAAAATGAATGATCCACTGCATTTGACAACCTAAATATATTTCAGACGAAACAATTCAACCTTTCTGGAGAATAATTAATCCCCAAATAATGCTAGAAGGGGTCTTGGAACTGAGGCTCAGAGAGGTGACATGGTTTGTCCCAAGTCACACAATCAATGCTACACTTGGGCCATGTCCTGTTCTCTTGCCACTCCCAGACTCAGCCGCAGCTCTTCCTTTCATGGTGCATGTCAACATGACTCCTACATTTATAGTCTTTTAATCTGCATACAAGCACCTTTAGAATTAAATCTTCATCGGACGCCTTTTCATTCTTCTTGTCTGGATCTAAGCAGTCATGAAGTTGAGCTAGAAATTCCTCATGTTCCCTGCAGTTCTTTGAGACTTGATTCTTAGTCTCCTCGTTTTCCTTTAAACACTCTCTATCAGGCAAATAACAAAAAAAGCCAAGTTTTAACACCATAGAAGATAACATTCATCAAACAAAGTTCGGAACATAAGCTCTCTGTGGGAAATAGCCAATCATCACTTTCAACGCAACGCAGTTTTCCAGACATGGGCACATGATTGTCACACAAGCCCTGAAAAGGAAGCAGAGAAATGGAAACAATTCTGGAGTATCTACACTTTGCAAAAATGTAGGAAAATCTTCATGGCATCTTAGGTGTAGTCACAGCAAGGGAGGCAGAGTCTCTGTCTCCTGTCCCCAACCTTCTTCCATCTGCCGAAGTGGCAGGTAGACTTCAAGGTCACACGTGGATCCGTGCAGCCATGGGCCTCTGTGGGGGCTTCGTGGGGAAGATGGAGAGTACTGCTTCATTGGTTCTAGGGGATCACGCTTATTTTATTTTCACACATCGCACATGTTCTATAAGGGTTAGTTAGGGCATTCCCCGGTTCATGGGCCAAGGATAACTATAATAAAAAAATACATCAGAAGCAGGGGATATTCCCACCTCTGGAAAAGAGAGGTGCTTTATATCACTAGCAAAGATCATCACTAGTTCTCACACACCCAGAGTTTTTAAAGAGTATTGGAATGGGCCAGTCAAGGAAAACCAATAGATTTATGCTTGACTTCAAATCTCAGATAGGTGTGCTGAAATAGCACAGTCTATTTCTAAATGCTTTAACTGTGAGAGACTAAGAGATCATCGAAAAATGGACACATTTTGAAGGCAAATTAGAATCATTTCAGTAATTTGGTAGCATTTTTTCAGTACTCTAGATAATAAACATGATTATTACTTTCCCTTTTAACCATGTTGAGTGTTTACTGCATATCCTTTCACTCTATTCAAAGAGTAACAAAGCATGTAATTGCATATGCTCAAAAGCATATCATATTTCTATTTAGAAAAATGTGTAACAATAAAAGACCAACATCAATACATCTCTAGGTTCTTATTGCCGGCCTATGCAAGGTAATATTTATTCAGTCTCTCTGACTCACAAAAGACACAATTGAGGCTATGGTTCTGATTGATTGACGTGTAAGATTCCATATATTAACCGCAAGATTTCAATCTTACTTCTCCATTCCAAGGGCTTCTAAACTGTTTCCCTTTCTACTGCATTTCACTTTTACCCAACAAAGTTCCACGAATCTATCCTAAGGACATAATCACATAAATGTGAAAATATAAATGTGCATGAATATTCATTGCATCTTGATTTATAATAAGTTTTTTGGGTGGAACTAACCTAAATACCTACAGGAAATAGCAAGGGAAAATGGTTAAATAAATTATATTTCAGGCAATGGAATATCTTGGGACATTAAAAATAATATAATGAATGACTTTCTAAAATATCTACAACATAGTATTCAGTAAAAATTGTTCATTGCATGATGTCATTTTTGTACCACTGTCTGAAAATGTGTTCAACAAAATGTTAACTATAGCTGTTTTGAGTAATTTTAATTTCTTTTTGGCACTTTTCTATAGTTTAAAGGTTTACTCTTTTACAGGGAGTATATATCTTTTTTATTACACATTTACTTAAATATTTATTGGGCACTTACTATGCATCAGGATCTATTTAAAGGTGCGAAAGATATAGAAGTAAACAGATCTTTGTCCTCATGGAGGTTACTTTCTAGTTAGGAAGACAAATAATAACAAAAATATTAATGTGTGTAGGAAGTATAGTATATTATAAAAGGGCTAGAGAGAAAAATAAGCAGGAATGAGGGTAAGAAATATTTGGGAGAGCAGGGTAACATTTTAGATGTATCTCTCACGGAAGCCCTCCCTTGGGAGGTAACTTTTGAGTGAAGACCTAAAGGAAGCAAAGAGGCAGTCAGTCATGCAGTATCTGGGCGACGGAGCTTTCCAGGAAAAGGACTCAGCAAGTGCAAAAGTCCTGAGGTAGGATCGTCCCTGGTACGTTTCAGGGGCAGCAAAAAAGCCAGAGAGATGGAATGGAATCAGGGAGAGAAAGGATGCAAGACTAGGTCAGGACGAGCCTTTTCGGGCTAGAAAACACTTTGTCCTTTACCCTGAGTGAGAAGAGAAGTCACTGGAGGGCTCTGAGAAGAGGACTGACGGGATCTAATTTATGTTTTAGCAAGATCGCTCTCGCTGCAGGGGGCACAGGCAGAGGCGGGGAAACTCCTGAGGAGGCTATTGGAGAGACCCAGGTGAGAGATGATAGTTGCATGGACCAAGTTAGTAGTCAAAATTTAGATTTATTTTGAAGAGATATCAATGATGGGATTTGTAAAGGATCAACATAGGATGTGAGAAAGAAAGAGAGCCAAGGATGGCCCCAGATTTCTGACCTGGTCAACTGCAAGAATGGAATGACCGCTAAATGAGCTGAGAAAACGTGCAAGAGGATGGTGTGGGAACACCAGCAGCTCAGTTTTGGATGTGTGAAGTTTGAGGTGCCTGTTGGACAACCACGTGGAGATGCCCAGCAGGTAGTAAGATACATGGGTCTTGAGCTCTGGGAAGAGATCCAGGTTAGACACAGAAATGTGGGAGTTATAAGCATTGAGATCATGCTCAAACTGATGAGGCTAGATGAGATTAGCGAGAGTGTGAATTTAGATGGAACTGAAAAAGCGATGCCAGGACTAAGCCCCGGGGGAATCCAATATTTGAAAGTCAAGGAGATGAGGACGAAAAAGCAAAAGAGACCAGGACATCACAGCTAGACAGGTAAGGTAGAGAGCAGGCATGTGTAGCATCCTGAAGCCAAAAGAAGAAAGTGTGCCAGGGAGAAACCCATTGTGATTCACTTGCCAGTAGGTCAAGTAAGATAAAGACTTGACCATTTAATTTGCAGCATGTGGTCTTTAGTCAGCGTAGTGAATGGTTTCAGTGGAGTAGATCCAAGAGAGAAGGAGGGAGGAGAGAAACTGGAACAGCGAGTATGTACAAACATTTTAAGGAGTTTTGCTGTAAGCAGGAGAGAAAGAGGACAGGAGCTATTATAGAAGTGTTGGATTTTTTTTTCAAGATGTAATAAGGAAAATAAATTCCAATTATTTTATTAATAAAGTTATTTAAGTTGTTACTTGTAAAATTTTAAAAGTATATTTTTGGAACAACGAGTTCTCAATTTTGTTGCAGTAATCACCTTTTGCCAGAGCTAAGTGCAGAAAACCTAAGTTTCATGCATTCTCTGCATAAACTGGCAATGAAACCTAATGAGATGTGTCTGGGGTGTCCTGTGGTGCTCTGGGCTTCCGGGGTACTTTTTATAACTAGCTTCTGAATTAATGCCTGCCTCTGTGTACTGCTCCACCACCTCTACCTCTGGTTAAAACTCTACTTAGAGGAAATCTTCCACATTGTGTATATAATCATGTGCCACCCTGATCGATAGGACATAAGCATGCTTAGGACAGTGCTGCGTTAGGACTCTTGGTGACATTTAGAAATGAACTTGGGAAATATTTTCAAGGCTCCAAAGATTCTAGGTCAATTTTTTTTCAAATTGAGTTTCAAGGCCAAACAGTGCAAAATGCCAGAACATTCAAAGGCGTATCCTGCTATCAGAAGCTAGTATTGAAACACTGACTCAAGAAATATATTGAAATACCCTTACTGTAATTTCTCGTTGAGTTCTACAACTTTCTTCTTTAACTCCTGGTTCTCCTTGGTTGCAGTGTGAGCTGTGATTTCTGCTCTAATTTTAGAGGAGGAAAGCATTGCTGATTCTTCTTCCAGATCCTGAACTCTGTCTCTCAAAGAGGTGAGGAGAGATGCTTTTCTGGCATTGTTCTCTTTGTAGTTCTCCATTTCAGCTTTCAATTCTTGACAGAAAACTTCTTTAGAAAGCATCTTGGATCGGAGGTCTTGAAGCTAACAAGGAAAAGAAATAAAAAGTCAAAAAGGATTTCCATGGCATAAGTTTGAAGTACCTTTAAGAAACCCAAAACTATACTTTAAAATGTCACTCTTTTATTCATGACTTAATCCACCTTTCCTTTCTCTCTTTTTTTTTTTCATGTCTGTATCTTTATTACCAGATGGGAAATTATGTCTAAATAATGGACTTCATGTTTTTTGGGTTTCTTTCAAAACCAATTGAGCAATGTCTTGTGGTAATTTAGTGTCACTCAAGAAACATTTGTGGTGTATTTTGCAAAAAGCAATAAAATATTTTGCAATGGTAACCCATTTTCTAAATCTGTATTGCTATTGCTGCTAAAGTGAAACAAGGAATCTACAAGCTATGCTGCTTATAATTTCATGGCTACAACTGATTCCCAAGGAAATACAGATTATTCAATAGACTGCTACATTTCTCCCACTGTCTTCGGGACTTTTATTGTGAGTGATAAAGAAAAATAATACTCAGATTTCTGGGAAAATATGGGAGAAAAGGAAAATCATTATAGGATTTCTACAAAGGAAATTTAACTTCTATGAATTCCATGGCATCAAAATGCTGAACAATGTATGTGCTGTATTAAGTGTATTAAGGTCAGGTCCACCCATAAGAAAGCTTTATGAGGACATGTTCTTCTTTGGAACTGTGAGTGTGCATCATACATTCTCTCTCTCTCTCTCTCTCTCTCTCTCTCTCTCTCTC